CCAAGGGAACAGACATTTTTTTATAGAATCAAGTCCAGTTCTAATTTGACTGCCAGGAACAAAATGAGTATTGACTAAAGCTTCACTGTTTCAGAATCTTTAGTCAAAGCTGCAGTATAGGGCCTCTGGCAAAATGATCCAATAATTCCATATAGTCTAGGATATTCTTTTCAATTCTTTTTAGAAGTAATACTGGGAAAGCATAGTATATGCTTAAAGAGCGTTTTCACTCATGCTTTGAATTTCTGTGCTATGTCTACTACTCTGCTGTTTAAAAATATTTTTACACACGGAGACAGACAGTTGGTCTACGGTCTTAAGTTTAAAAATACTTCTTACTTGGAGCAAATTTCCTCATGGCCAAATTTCTATGATAGGTTATGGCACTGCATGACGGGGACATCTTTCCTTTTTTTAAGATCGTACAATGGATGAAATAGTTAATTATTAATCTGACTGGCATGTGTAATGAAAAAAGGAGTTCTTTTGCTTTTAGGTCATGGACTCAGTATGTACATCTCTTGTGTGGCTGCCATCATAATATCCCTGCAGCTATGGTGTCACCTATTGTCATTTTTCTGCTAATAAACAAATTTGAGCTAGCCAGGAATCCTAAATTAGAAGACTAGTTGTTTATCTCAAATATACTCCAGAGAACTAGTAATGCAGTTCTGCTTTGAATTTAATTTAAACAGGAACAGGCAAAACAAATCTCTGTGGAGGGCGTTTGACAATAATAAAATATTTCTCCCAGCGGGTGAGCTGGTAGCAATTGTATTGTTGCAATCCAAGCTCACGTTTCAGTAGGCGATTACCGTCATAACAAGCCCTTGGACCAACTGGCATGGACATGCAACATTGAGCCCCTGATGGGCACATTATTTCAGACCTTTAACTTCATGGAGAACAAGACAAATACTCCTGGGAAAGGGGGATTATATTTTGAAATTCCTTTCTTTCCTATTTTGTTTCATAATAAGATGCAGTGTGCAATCAATCTACTGCTATTTGCTTCGTGCCCCCCGCCCCTCCCCCACACACTACGGAAGAGCACGAGGCTAGACTTAAAAGTTGGAAACACTGATGTCAACAAACACTTCTATGTCTATTGGACTATGGACCTCTCTTTCAGCATGTAAACCACTGCGGGTGAAGTAAAAGCCTTCAGCATCCCTCTCTTTTCTCTTACAGCCTATTCACAAGTTACGTTTTGCAATAAACAAAGCATACATACCTGAAGTTTTTGCACAGACCCAAGGATGTACTAGCCGATCTCTGTTCTACCTCATCTCTACCTGTTACCTCAATCAGCCGCTTGGAAAATAGGGGTAAGATAAGTCATCTGGAGAAATCAATTGTGTTCTAATTTTGTTGCTGTTTCGCTTTCTTTAGTAGGAAAAAAGAAACGGGTGTTTTAAACTACACCTGAATCCATTTTAAAGCACATAAAAGAGCCAAATGAACAGGGGGCGGGAGGGATTGTGAGATAGTCTGCATGAGTTTTTGAGCAGATACCTCTATTTTTACATGGGCATAACCAGATAGGCTTGAGAGTCATCCAATAAAATGTGTTCTCCAGGTGTGTTGGGGAAAGACAGAGATGAGAAGGACTGTGAGGGGGCAGGGTGGAGGTGGAGACAGCCCAGGTGTATGTCATTGGTTTTGGATTTGTGAGTAAAAACCCTTAAGTCCTTTTATCTTGATAATTTTTTAAAAATAGCCTAAAACACAAAATGCAGAACCCATGTATGAAAAGTTTTTTAAATGTTTTAGGACATTCCTGGCTTATTTGAGGAATAGATAAAATTTAAAGCAGCGGCTTCCTCATCTTATCTTCGCATTAGAATCACCTGGGTATGTATTTTATCATTCCAAAGCCCAGGCCACATGTCAAACCAATTAAACCCCAGTCTTGGTGGTGGGCAGGGATGGGGGTGGGAGGATAGATACAATCATCAGGAATTCTTAATACTCTCCAGGTGTTTCTAATATGCAGCCAAGCTTGGAAAACACAACTTTAAAGGACAAAAAAATCACTTATAAACAACAGATGCAAATAAAAGTGATTCCTTGACACAATCAACATCACCCAATTTATCAGAGCGACTCATTGCATCCAGAAATACAATATGCTAAAATGCCAAAATCCGACATGATTATTTTCTTTTATACCTGAGGCACCCGTGATAAATAGCACAGCACCAAAACAGTTCTTCCATAATTATTCTAAATTACAAAAACCAGCAAGAGAAGCCTGACATTTAGGTTCTTAAATGCATGTGCACGTAACGTATATATTTTTAAATGAGGACCTGACTGGAAGATGACAGGCATTTTTTGTTTGGTTTTTTTTTTTTCGTTTTTTTCCTTTTAGCTTTGTATCTTGTCTCAGTTCCACCCAAGTACTTTAAGAACACCCAAAGTAAAACGTGAGATTCTACGCTGATCCACCGCGACGGAAAGGACTTTAAAATAGGAAACGACAGCTATGAGTTTGGTTGCCAGCCAGTGCATTTTACCGTTTAGATAATCTCACGTCCCTAAATCTGACTCGGTTTGGTGGCCTTCGAGTCATCAGCGTGCTTCTCTAGAGAACCGGCTGCTTCTGAAAGGTGAGAAATACAGTGGGCAAACACAATGACAAAAACACTCTCCAGATAGGCAGAGAAGACAAGAAAGCACATATTAGCACCTTGGTGATGGGTCCAGTGGAGGCGCAGCGTGACCCGGAGCAGCAAGGGCTGTGACCTCTCCGAGGGAAAAAGGCGAGAGGAGGCCTTTCGCTGTCAGCAGCGCTGCTTAACCCTCTGGAAGCTGAAGACAGCTCGCCCCCGCCTCACGCGCACAGATCTATAAACTCGGGTGTTGATTTCTTATTCAGGAAATCTGGTCAGCAGCCCCACTGCTGCTCCAGAAAGCATGCAGCTTGCCGAGGAGCTCAGCGCAAACGCACGATTTAATTGTGGATGGAGGGAAATAATAGGTATCTCTAGTTTGAAGATGATCTTAAAATAGGGGCAAAGTTTTCTGTTATGACATTGACATAGAGGCGATGATTTTGAGTAACGCAGGGTGATGTGGAGACGCTTGGAGATTAAGTAAGAGCTATATAAAGGCTTGTCAGAATGAATTCTAATGTGCCACAAGACACTTTGCATACTCTTAAATATGCAAAATGTCTCTTGGCACCCTGGAATTCATCCTGACAAGCCTTTATATAGCTCTTATTTAAACTCCCACTTTATTTTTAGGGAACAGGTACTCAGAGGTACTCTTCCAGTGGAAGCCACAAAGGGCAGTGTTGATTGATTTGGTTCTTCCGTGGGGGGAAAATAAAGAAACACAAAACGAAAGAGCGATCAAAAGTGGAAGCTTGTTTAATATTGCTCTACCATCATCCTGAAAGGCATAATAATTTGAGTTACACATCTGAACTGATTGGAGTTACAGAATCATATCTCCTTTTTGCATTTAACAATATATACAATATAAAATAAATACATTTACACAAATGGACATTGGCTGGAGCACACAGTATGGTACACATCACAAAAATATACAATTGATTGCTTTACAGATGTGAAGCCCATCTATAGCTATAGACATGGTTTTATTATTATTAGTATTATTAGTATTCTTTTTACTACTGGCTATAATGCAACTCCTGGATTATTATAAGCAGTTTAATTTTTTTTTTTGTCCTTTTACGATCTTTGCACATAAGACTGCCATAAAATGTTTTCCTAGGCAGGTAAACAGAGACGCTTAAATAATTAAAATACAATCACCAACACCCATTTTCTCTTCTATAAGAAAAATAGCAGTTTTAAATTTTTTATATCTTTTATGTTATCATTTAAATGCAAAATAGTGGAATAAATACAACAATCTGATCTGATTGAAACACAAGTGTAACTGCAGGGAGTCACACAATCATATTGCTTTAAATAACAAACCGAAAAGAAGCAAAATTAAAATTAAAATCATGTGGCTAAAACATACACCTTTATAATTTCCCAAAACTTCACATTAAGTAAATGGTCTTGCTTGAAACTTGAAACAACTTACCTCAAGCGAGGTTTAAGGGGAGCATGTACCCTAAAGCTCCTACAGTTCTTTAGGCCTTCACGTTAGTCGTGTTTCCTATTTATATGATCCTTGTTTTACTTAAACTGAAAGCTAAACAATTGTACTTCCTTCTTTTGACATATCTCCATCTCAGGTTTTTAGTCAATTGGCTCTTTCTTCTGAAGCCCAAGTACTTTAATGTGATACAGTAAAAACAATGCATATATTGTATATATTTTTAGTTCTATATAATGTGGTTGAACAGTAGCAACTTAAACCCTGCACAGACTTCCTGGAAAATAATCTTTTGAAACACTTACATATATAAATAATCTTATAGAATCAGCACCTTTTTTTTTCCCAGGAGTTGGATTTTCTGTTGTTATTTTTAAAGGGATGTGCCAATTTCTGAACTCCTATCACAGCTATAAATTTCAAGTTATTGACCATCTGAATGAATTGCTAATGATGATTTATCTAGAATCATACTACAGTCACTTCTCTACAGAGAAACCACAATCTACAATATAGTCCCATATAGCTAATGATAGATACACAGTATTCCTAGCATGAGGCTGATGTAACATCAACCCAGGATATTTCGTTTAAAGCACACAAAGTAGCAATAGTTTTGGAAACGTGTCCGCACCAAAAAGTTTTGCAACAACACAGAGCGAGTTAATAACAACATCTGAGAGATGATTGAGTGGAAGCCATATATACAGCATTTAAAAATTAGACTTATCTATGTTATTGAAATATTCAAAGTTTTATTTCTAAGCTATACATTGGTATTCTATAATAAACCATTAAAGAAATGATTCCTTGTTTTGAAAATATTATTATGATTTCGATGTATATCTGTTCGTGATGAGTACGTGTCTGGAGTTTTGATCTCTTAATTCTTATTAGGAAGAACCTTATTACTGTTAAGGAATAGAATATACTACTTGTAGTCTCCTGAGGAATTGTACATCCAATATTGTCTCTAATTCTACCCTGTGTCTAAAAGCACACACCACAAGAATCCAAACACCACAAGAAGAACAAGACGACAATCTTAGAATGCAACATAAAGTTCCGAAAAGCACAGCAAACATGAAACATTGAAAAGCTGAACTACACTTCTTTTGTTTGTTAGGATTACAGTTTTAATTACATCTGTGTACATAGAATATGACTGTTCACATAGTACAGGGAGCAGCTACTAACACTGGTCCGTTGGGATAGCATTGGATGGAGGGTACTGTTTATTGGTTATTCAGCGACTCTAGATTTCGGGGGCGTCTAATTGATTGCTTCTTTAGATTACACCTCTTAACAGTCGGGAACCTGACTGACACTCTTGCTGTGACAAGACTGGTTGAAAAGCAGATACATTGGCTTTGCTCTTGGTAAAAATCTGCCGATTAATTTAAACAAACATCCCTAAATGATTCAACTCATATACATAGGTTTTAGAATTTGGTCAGACGTCTGTCGGCTTGGATGATTTGTTGTTGTTGTTGTTCAAATTCGGGCATTTGCCTTATTGCCTTTGAAATGAATACTGGCTCACAGCTCCTCGGGGACAAGGTTTGTAACTTTGCAAACAGGCAGTAACTCGTTCCTAACCACCGTGGCAGCTAGAAATCATATGGCAACTGTACCTCCCAGGTAGAGGTGACTCCTGAAATTCTACGGGCCTGGATTCCATGTGCAGCACGTACGTACGTGACTACGTGGAGTCACTGCAGGTGTAATCAAATCCTTTGTGCCGGTGAGCGTTTAGGTAAACCGGAGCTCATGGTAAGAAACTGATGCTTGGGACCAGACTGGCACACAACATAAATTGCATCCGTGATAATATGCACCTTCCCTTCAACTATTGCTTAAGTTAAATTCCCATATTAATAAATGGCTGAAAAGTGGTAAAGCTGGTACAAAAAAATCTCCATTGGTAAGAAGAAACAAAACATTTTTTTAAAAATCTTCCTTCAGGATTCATTTGTCCTTCATTGATTAGTGTTCATCATTGTTCAAAGCCAGCACACAATCGCAGTATTCGTATTCCTCTTTAGTATTGCATGAATGAATAAAGCTTAACCTATTCCCTGAAAAAGTTACATAGTAGCTAAACTAACAAATACCTGGAAGACTTGAAAAAACAATTAAGGAATCAGATGGCTATAACTGATCTAGATGGAAAAGCGATGACAAGCAGCAGCGTTCTTAAGTTGTCTAATTAGGGGCTGCTCCCATGAAATCTAATACTGCTCTCAGTCAATTCGTCGACATCGCACTGTACTGTAGGTGCAGTGGCTCTGTCTTTGATTCCTTAGTCACTGGGGACATTCTGGTTCACAATAAGTTCAGTGGCATCCATATTATGGATTTCCATCCTTTGGCAGGGCTGGCTTCCTATGCTCTTCCATTAGAGACCTCTTTGAAAAGTTCAGCAGCAGAAGGAAGGAAGAAAAAAAAAATTTCTTAACAACGAGAGCTATTTAAAATTGAGAAGGAAGGGAGGGAGGAACGAAGGGAAGAAAGAGAAGGAAATGAGAAATAGAGGAAACCAGGAATCAAAAGGAAGCCAAGAAATGGAGAGGAGGCATGACGAGGTGAGAAAAATAAAATAAAAGAGAGGGAGAGAAATAAGGAAAGGATGAGATCAGGTAGAAAGAAATTCGGCAGGGAGAGATGGAGAACTCTGAAAGCTGCTTCGGAGTCTTGCTGCTAAGTCATCAGTGCAGTCTTTGTTGATTTTTTATGGTGTTACACTAAACTCTAAGTTTCTTCGACATCACTCTTGGGTTTCTTTTCCCTTTTGCGGCGTGCAGGATAGGAAGGCCCAGGAAGCTTTTAGTCAGACCTTGGCCTCCAGCATTTCCAAAAAAAGTTTGTGCATGGGGACTTTGCCTTCTAGTTTGATGTTGTAGAAATGCTGCACGGCCTTGGTGGAGGTCTGCCTCAGCAGGGGCAGCGTCATCAGCATCTTGCCAGCCCTGCGAGGGTCTTCCATGTGCTGGCCGGCCTCATAATCCTGCAGGGCCTCGTGCAAGACATCCTGAAGCTTCTGGACGGCCTCCACGTCTTCTATGTGCATGGAGTCTGTATGACAAAGCAACAAACAGAAACAATACTGTTAGCAACAATGAAAACCTATGCACGTGACAGTTACCTAAGTTCCATGTGATCCTTGAAGGTCTCCAGCTCTAAACGGATTCGCTTAGAGCCTCACCTTTCCAAACTCCATTTTTTTTTTCTTTTGGTCTAAATTTCCCTACAGTAGATAACTTTCAATGTTGAATTAGAACATGGGAATTATTACGAAAGGTCCATTATTTAAAATGTGTATTGTTTTTTTGTTTTGTTTGTTTTCCTACTAACACTGAGCAAGAGAAGACGTTCTTTTAACAGATTCCAGTCTTGACTGTTTTATTCATTACCTCATTCATGAATTTATTCATTGATTCAACAATTAGGGAAGGCCATCTATTCAGTGTTGCTCTAAGTGCTGTGGAGGTGAAGTCCAAAATTCTGATCTGACCCTGAAAAAGCTCATGTTTCCCAAAAGGATGGAATAACATTGATGACCAGGATTTTCAGAATTCTTAAATCTTTCGTACATACACTGAATCTGACAGTGTTCAGTCATTGACTACACAGAAATCACAATAAAGTGAATGTCCTTTTTAGAATTTTTTGCGTACTATTATTCACAGCTCCTTAACAGATCCTTACATTGTCTGCCTCACTACTGAAGTACAAGTGAAGTCTGTAGATTAATGAGTTCTGAAATATTTTTCACATTTGTGAAGGCGAACTTTGCCCTCCAGTGACTAATTTAAAAATCTAATTTGATCAAGCAAGGAAAGGGTTAACAGGGTTGCCACAATTATTCTTGCGAGAAGTGTGAGATTGGGGAGAGGGGGATTAAAGTTACAGCTCTAGCTCTAAAACAGACACTTAATTATATACAAGTTTGAATCATTTAGCACGTTTTATTGATTCTGATGACAGTTTATCTGTTAATTACACATAATGGGGTCTTTGGGGGAATTCTGCATGTTTAATAATTCTACTTCTCTGAGAACGCAGAGCTCTAAGATATATGTAGTTAGCCTAATCTTTCATATAATTCAACTGTCAGGTCACATGCACAAAAAGAGAGACAAAATGAAATTTTAAATCAAGTAGCTAAACATATAATAAAATTATGGCAAAGTAATTAAATGACTGACTGCCATTATCAGAACTAATATATATTTTTAAAATTTCTTTGTATTGTGTTGAGTTTTTTTTTTCTTTTAGATCATCGTTTTGAATCATTTCACCATATCATTGGTGAATTGACCAGTATTTATATTAGGTGGGTAATGACACGTATTTCTGAAAGAGTTTTGAATAATCTGGAATACAACTGTTTATAAGTGTTTACTGCTCAAGACTTGATACCTGCCTGGAGGAGCCAAAAAAAGGAATTCTTCCAGGTTGAAATGTCGATCATGGTGCCCTGGAGTGAAACTCAAGGCTCCCCAACACATACCTTTGCCTTTCCCTATGGATTGTTTCTTTCTAGGTGTCTCTCCAATCTGGTTCCTGGATGGATGTCAATCCCATCCGCTTCCTATATGCCTTCTCTTTAACACAAGCACACATAATTTCCAAAGTCATCTAAGGGTTGGTAACATCAGTGACAAAAACAGTCACAGAGGTGACGACAACATGCTCTGATGTGCTTTCCTCTCTATGTTTGCACTTCCATGCTGTCTGGAGGGGAAGTGGTGAGCACAGACAACACACACGGTGCATGTTCAGGTACACAGAAGACTGACCTTGTACATTAAGGGAACTGACACAAGGTGGAGTTACCCAGCCTATCCTGGGACTAAAACTTAGCACTCTAAGTAAAAACAGAGGGCAATCAAGGGATGGGGAAAATAGGAATTGCATTCTTTACAGACAAAATCAAAACAAAATAACTATTTTTCAAGCAAACCAAAAAAAAAAAAAACCAGGAAAACAACAGCAGAATCAACATACTAAATATACCATGTATTAAGTACCTGTTTCGGGTGAGGCCCCTAATAGCACTTTATAAGCACAGCCGCATTTCATCTCCCAGCGGCCCTGCAAATTACATGGCGCTGGTAGTAAGGGTCACAATTAAGCTTAAACTCAGGTTTCTTTGAATCATAAGCACGCTTCCAGAATTTAACACTGACTGACATGATATTTCCTTTAAAAAAAAAAAAAAGAGTTGAAACTGTCCTCTGAGCTCATCTGGTTTAACCTTCCATCTTCATCAGGAATCTTCTCAACATTTCTAATGAAGACATTCCCAGTTTCATGCAGAGCCTTCCACTTGACAAGGAGCAGAACTCATGATTAGAAATGTCTCCATATTTTCCCCAAATCTGTCTCCAATTTTCAGCCTTTGGTCCTGGATCTAACTACTGGAACAATACAGGATACATCTCCTTCGTCTACAAAGCAGATCTCTAAACGCTGGAAGTCAGCAGCAGTCACCTCAGCCCCCACCCCAAGTCTTGCCGTCCCCACGACTCGTGCCCAGCAGAAGATATATTATAGGATGTCACAGGAAATGAGGCGAGAACAAATAGCAGAGAGAGACGCTCACAAACAGCAATTAAGACTTCAAACTATTCTTTAAAGGCTGTGATTTAGCTTGTGAGATTTAAAAATGATTTAATCAAATTACTATGATAATTTAACTTCCCATTTACAGAAAAGATTCTAACTCATTTTAGCTTTCCCCATTCTCCGATCGGCTAATACTTTAAATGCAAACTCACTAAATCTGAACTATTTAATGAGACCATGATTCAGCTGGCAGACTGCTGAAGAAAATATTAATCTCCATTAGAGAGCCCAGTTCAAGTTCTGACTCTGTGGCTGTAACCTCTGTTTTGTTCTTTGGGCAAAACTTACACATCGGTGCCAGGCTCAACAGAACTGGCATTAAATGGCGTACTCATTTAGCTTTGGTGGTTGCTGGTGGTTTCTTTTTAACTTTATATTTTAAAGGCAACAGTCCCAGTATTTGTGCTGATGGGAACCAACTAAACTTAATAATGCAAATCATAGGTTTATGAACTAACTAGAAAGGGTAAGGGTATAACTTTTAAAATTCTGGGTAAGTTGTTAAAAAAAAACAAACAAATAGCCTGAGCCCAAGCCCAGACCTATTAAATCAGAAAACTGAGGCTGGATCAGCACATCAGTATTTTTTTTTTAATTGAGGTGATTTAAAGCCATGATTGAGAACTATTGAGCTAGACAATAAAACAACCATGCTATTTTAAGATAATCGAGATTTCAAAAGATAACCAGAATTCAAATGATGCATATATTAAGTTTCACCACCTAATAATAAATGAGTACCCATCTGTTAACTTCTACTCTTTTACTGTGTGAAGTGGAATCATAAAGGAACGTGTCTCATTCAGGTCATTTACTTCGGGAAGGTAGCTAGATAGCCTTCTACCGAGAGCTGCAAAATTCAGTGAGGCTTACAGTCGTTGCAAAGAAGGTTTTCTTTGGATACCTTACTTGGAGTAAAACACTGCCCTTCTCAGAGTAAACATATTAATTATTGTGGGCATAGGCTGAGCTCCTCCAAATGCCCATGTTCCACTTGGGAACTGTCTTTAGGACTCATTTTTAGCAATAGTTTCTCAATCGTGCTAAATCTCACTTTGAGGGTGAGATCAAATATTAGAAATAAAGTCTATTCAGAGTCATGTGTAGTACATAACATAAACCAACATTTCGAATAACTCTTTCTGTGGAACACAGACATTGATTTTCGTTAGTGTCTGTAAGTTCCTACATGAAGAAGGGTGGGAAGGGTGGAACCAATGTGACCCTCCAGTTACTAAAGGAATGAAACCCAGGATGATGGAAAAGACCGAGAAGTAAGCAAATTCTCTAAAAGAGAATTGTGTCACAAAAATATTACATGCAGTATATAAGGAATCTAACAGAGTAATCCTCTGGGTTGCACAGAGCTGGGGTACTGGTCAAATGCCATGGAAAAGAGGCTCCTGATTAACGTGGGTAGTTGGCCCTACATGTTGACAACATGGTGCCAATCCTAAAGTTTAGATTAAAAATAGCTAAACTGGATTCTAGGAAGATGGCAGTGGCGGCAGGAAAAGAATCTCTCTTAATTTATGTAAACATCAAGAGCAGATAGACAGCACAACTAAAAACCACTGATTCCACTCACACAAAAACTAAGTGACACGGTATCCCCGAGACACATATATATACACTATCAGGATTACTGTGTTCCTACCTCCATCCACTGAAGAAGCCTAGGAAGAATGGCCAACCTGGGATTGCGGTAATAAGTAACGAACAAACTAGCACCCAGGTTGCAGTTAGATTCCAGGCCCTGGTCAGGAAATGTTTAAGATGAGTACAGAACATCCTGCCAAGTAGAAGAAAGGCATTATCTAAACCCCTAAGTCATTCAGGAACATTCCAGAAGGTAACCTGAAGACTGACCCAAAGTGGGGTCTGAAAAACACTAGAGAAAATTGACACCTGTGACCCAAGGTAACTGCCCCCAAATGGAACAATTTCAGCGTCAAAAAGTATTATAATTACAATGGATTGAAATCCATTGAATATGTTTAAATACATGTGTTTATAATGACATTAAAAGAAAAAAAAAAGAGGGCACCAATCCCTCATCTTGAAAACTGGTGAAGAAACAGGAAGAATCAAGCATTTATCCCATTTTTGCTATACAAATTTTATCACTGGAGAACAAGTAAGGATGACTGAAAACATCACTTTACATAAACACCCCAGCTGCTGAGTGAAAAAAGAAATAATAGAATTACAAATCACCATTTCTGCAACCCCTAGTGATGAATGGATTTGGGCAATGAGAGGTAACAGCCTCCATGATCATAAAAACAGAGACCACCAGACATTACGTGCCGCCCAAGGCGTACACAGCACCCACGGGTGCCACAGGGATTGAACCCGAGTCTGATTCAGTCTCTGATCCCAGATGCCAATTCACACAAATTGCCAAGGGCAGAGGAGCACGGTGAGCTGCACCCAGTACATGC